GTGTCCCGTGTGTCCCGTGTGTCCCGTGTGTCCCGTGTCCGATTGTCGCATCCTTCCGACTTGCGGAGCCCCTGGGAGGGACTGAAAGGGTTGGAGTAGGGTCGATGAGTAGATCCACATGGCAAAACCTTCGCAACTCCGAAGAAGGGAGAAACATCCGACACTGTTCTGCTAAGGGAGAGGGTTTCTTCGCTTGACGAGAGCTCGAACAAGAGACCCCAAGCAGTACCACTGCATGACAAAAGCAAAGTGAGTGTGTATACGTAATTAACAGTCTGGAGTGGCTTGAACAAATGCTTGCATCGGCCACACAAAAAGGATTGGGCCAAAAGAACAGGGTTGAAACATATTGCAGGAGAAGGCAGCAAAGACAGAAACCGTAAATCACATTGACAGGGTCATGCAGTCATAGAGTCAATACTATAGAAGGAACATACAGTATACAAGAACAACCTGCTACCAGTAAAAGGTTGAGTGAGCAAGTAGCAAGTTCAACGCACAATATGTCAGCTTGAGACAAGTGCAGGACACAACCATGAGGCCAAGTGAACCTTATCACAGCCTGCACACGTAAGCATGTAGATCAATTCCTTGGTTTCTTCGATCAACACTCGCTGCTCTCCACACAAAGGCCACTGAAAGCTGGACCATCTGCCTCAGGCACGACTGGCTTGCAAAGGAGGTCGCAGAAGCTTCGAACACCTGAGGCACACGGCACACCATTTCACTCAGTAAATCTCAAAACAAACCCCTTCAATCTCCTTCATATGGATTTAATCGCGCGATAATTATCGTTTCTGAAAGGCGCGGATGCCTACCTTTTCCTTCAAAGTCGGGGTCTTGCGCCAAAATGGCGGGTAGCGAAAATGCGTGGTTGACTGACGTGACCTCATGTGCTTGGTTGTCCTATGGAATCTGACACGCCTCCATCAACCATGCACTTTCGGCATAACTCGATGCTTGTTGCTTTCGAGTAGTGCGGGCATCCTGGTGAAAAGTGAATCACCTGCCCGGAATGTGTCTTCTTCAAATTCGCCATCTGCCTCATCAATTTCTGGGCATGTCTGGTTTCGATTTGAAACATTTGGAAATGCTCTTCAGCCTGCTCTTTGAGCATGCTGATCTTCTCTTCAAGTTCTTCTATGTACATGTCTTGCTTTACATGCTCTGCCTGCATTTCCACCAACTCACGATCATAGGCTGTCCTCAACTCAGCCTCCACATGGCATGTTGCCTGCGTCTCTTGGTCCTTCCTCTCCAGGACCACCTGGACCACACTCTCGTCATTCTGAATCGTGACCTTCTTGAAGTCCAGCAAGTGGGTGATGCCACCCCTCACAAACACAAAAATGAAGTCCCGAAGCCAAGCAAAAATGCGCATACACAAAAGACCGTCCATGACCAACCAAAATGGCTATCCTCCGTGTAGGACTCCATGGTCGCTCCAGAAGCCTTCTCCAAGTTCGCCAAGAGGAGTAGCAAACAGACACGAAGAGCTTTCTTATTTCCAATCTGTTTCTGACTGCTCTTGACCTGGTAGTTGCGCTCCAACTCCTCGAACTCTTCTTCACCGACACGGTCGTTGACCATATTCACCATCTTCAGCATGAAGAGCAATCCCAGCAATCTTTCTTTGCTAGGTTCTTCGTCCCAATGTCAGCGCAGTTCAAGTCTGTTGGGATAGGAGCTACCGTCAGCACCTTCTCCTTTTCCTTCTGCTGGATCCAAAGCAAGGATGCGTCCAAATGTCGAACGCGACCAATCCCTTGCCTCTGCACCATCGATCGTGCTGCAGAGCTGTCTGAGCGCACTTTCATCGTGCACTGCATGCCTGTCATCTTGTTCCATAGGTGACGTACAAGTAGCCCTTCAGAGCTCCCAGCCACCATAGCCACAAACTCTGATTCTCCAGATGACAGTGCAATGGATTTCTGAGCTCGAACCTTTGATTCGATCAAGTTGCCATCCATGAAGATCTGGAATGAGCTTGTCGATTTTCGGTCGTTCTTGTTGCCTGCATAGTCAGCGCGTCTGTGATCACTTCAAGCAAATGCTGTGGCTGCTCATTTGCCTCTTCCTCTTCTCTCACGTCCATCACTGACTGGCCTCTCTTCCTTGAATCCATCATCACTCCATAGCCAGCTGTGCCAAACAAGTAGGACACCACATGCTCTGCATTCTTCATGGCCATCTGAGTTGGTTTTGCCATATGTCTGGCAAGACATTGGATTGCATGTTGTGCATCCGGACGTTCACCTGAGATGTACATCAACTTCCCCACAATGCTCCTGAACTTTGTGATGTCACTGCCATCCAACTCCGGAGACTCATCTTTCTTGCTGAAGTCATTGCTCATAGGAGTCTTCCTGTAGAAACGTGCATGGAGGTTGGTCACATCTTTCTCCAAACTGTCATACTGCTTGTGGTCGCACCTGATGGTACAGCTCTTCCTCCACCAATCAAACTGCCTCTTCAGGTAATGGAACTTGTCGCCGGCATGGAATGGACCCTTTTCCTCAACATTCCAGTCCATCTCCTTCTTCAAGTAGGCGACAAACTGCAGCAGCTTTTCCTCAGTGCCAACCATGAATACGTCATCCACATGCACTGTGACATACAGTTCTTTTGCCAACATCATCAGCGTAGGTTGCATCATGTCCTGCACCATACCAAACTGCAAGCATGTCCTGGCAAACAATTGGAACCATTGTGATGCCGCTGTGCGTTGGCCCGGCAAACATCGTAGGAGTCGAAAGATGCGGCCATTCACTCTTACAAAGGCCACTTCATCAGTCGGCTGTGGTGCCATCAAGAATGCATCTTTGATGTCCAAAGTCATGGCCTTGAAGTGAGGAAAGACGTTCACGATCAAATGGATCAGAAGTTTAGGTACCAACATCATCGACGTGGGAGCGAATGTTTGCTCGAGGTCAATGGAGTTTCTGAACTGTCGTGCCACCAATCTCGCACGACGAAACCATCCTCCCATTTCCAGGCGATGTTTCCAAGTGTAGACCTCTTTGGTTGAGATGATGTAGCCCTCACTTCTGGTCACCTCATCCTCATCACTTTCAATCATAGCGGGCATCTCCATCATCCTCTGAATCTCCTTTTCTCGTGCTTGGGCATCCAGCTCAGCTAGGCGCTCCTCCGTCACTTCAGGAGGATCTTCATCTTCTTCTCCACCATATGCAAAGAAGTCCTCTTCCACCTCACTTGGAATCAACTCCAAATCAATCTCCTCATCTCCATGGATCTCCATGCTCACCGCATTGATGCCAGCGTATGCAGGAGGGTGCAAATGTGAGCTCAGTGAACCACGTGGAGACGCCTCCAATGTTCTCATTGGTTCATCATGGCCATGCCCTCGTTGCTCATTCTCCAACTCCTCCACATCGACCTCTGGCTCTCTTTTCTCATGCGCCTTGCGCGGAGACGATGTATCATCCAATCTCTTGGGCTCACTCTCTTCCGCTGTCTCCAAAGATCTCTTCAATGCCGTTGAAGTTGTCTCACCAGCCGGTGATGTCGGCCCGGGAGTTGCTGGTGCCACTGAACCAACATTGGGCGTCTTGGGCGCTACAATGCCAGGTGTGTTTGGAACTGGCGTCTTCAGCCCTGGCGTTGGTCCAACCATTCCTGCTGCAACCTCTGTGGCAATCTCCTTCATCTCACTCTCTTCTGCTTCTGCCTCCAACGTGGGTTGTCGTGTACGCTGAATCTGTCCAGCGTGTCGCATCAGAATGCCTTGAGGAGAGTAACTCCATGGAAGCCCCTTTGAGATCACAATGTCGGTTGCAATGAAGTTCTCCCCAACTGCCAGTCTCCTGATCGTTCTGGACTCAAGTGCTCCCTCTGGCGTCAGGATCACATGTGTGTCGTTCCATGGATGTTTTCCTGCCCAAACTCCACGTTCAAAGATGTTGTTTCCTTTGAACTTGACAATCTTCTTGAACAGGACACTCTCTCCAAACAATGCCAGTTTTCCATGGTATCCATGCCCTGTCGCCAGTTCAAAGCTAGTCTTGTTGCACTTCTCCAAGACACGGAAGCGGTTGATCAGGAAAGCAGCATACCTGAAGCTCCATGGATAGAGGTGCAATGATCCAAGGATTCTTAACCTTGCACGATCTTCAGCAAATGTCCGGAGACAGTTTGCCAGCCGCCTCACTGTTTGGACTGCTCTCTCAACCTGTCCATTGGATTGGTGTTGTCCAGTGCCAGTCATGCGGATCTCTGTCTTCAGTCCCATGATGCTGCGAACCTGTTGCACAGACCTCAAAATCTGACGAGTTGCTCGTTCGGGGTCCGCCTGGAAGATGCACTGATCATAGGCAGAGTTCTCCAGTGCAAAGCGAGTGACCTCTTCTGTGACCGTCTTGAGGCTTGTACCGCCTTTGTCTCGGAACTCGCCAAGATCAGTACTGTCCCATACTGGTCTTGTCTCTCTTGGACTTTCCCACTGGATGGCTCATCACCTCGTTGATCTTCACCAGTGTACGTGTAGCAGAAGTCCATCTGAATGACATTCTTGCCCTGGTCCTCTTGCTCCTCTCGTGCTGGGTGCTTATCCTCTTTCGCACGGCTTGCCACACAAGCCTGGCACCATCCAGCGTAGGGCATGTGAGTGATGAAGTGTCGTTCCTGATCTGCTAGACTTGGCAACTTTGGTTGTCCAATGGTCACTGGAAGTCTCTCTTGCTCCTTGAAGATGCGGTTCGCGATTGACAGCTGCATCTGTGTCTCCAGGTTGATCTTGAACGCAGTCAATCTTTCAAGGAGTCGTTTCTTGCTTCCAGTGTGTGCCAAGTTGCGCTCCTTACATGCAATCTGCAGATCTTTCACTGAAGTCTTTTCTGAGAAAAGCGTCTCATCCAACTCGACTTCATGAGGATGTTGCGCAATCACTCTCTTCTCAATGTCGTGATGCTCTACTTGCTGCTCCATCTCTTCAATCTCCTCACCATCATCATCAGACCATGCTGTTGCTTTGATCGCATCTTCAGGCTCAGGAAATGGTGAAATTGGAACTTCTGAATCTGGCTCCCAGTAATCTCGAAACTTCGTTCGTAGGAGCAAAGAAGCTCAAAGTGCGATGCGCTTCATCATTCAAGCCAATCTTCCTGAAGATGTGTGGTTTGGCCTCTGTGATGTCATCCTCCTTTTCAAGTTGCGTCCACTGACCGTCTTTCTCCTTCACAAGTGTCAATCTGGACTTATAGGCCTTCTCGATGTTGCCCTTGGGATCTGTCAATCTTACAGCAACTGGGTCACTGTAGACCACCACTCCGTTTGGCAGTCTATGCCAGCCCGGAGCTAATTCCAAATCCTGCACATACTTGCTCAAATAGCCAGTCAAGGCCAGCACTCTTGCTGTAGGACTCGTGGTGGATATCGTAGGGCTCGATGTCAATGTAGCCTCGCTCACCACACAGATTCTAGCTTCAAGTTGCAAGGAGTTTCTTTCTGTGTTCACGGGAACTTCAATCCCTTTCTCATCATGTCGAAGTTCCAAGCCATCATCTGATCTCTGCAGACTCCAGCCACGTCTCAGTAGTTTGCCTGCGCATAGGATAGGGTGTTGCACATTGCCCAGGACAAACTCTTCCACGAGCTCAAAAGGTTTTCCTCTCTTGTCTTCGATGCGAATGCGGACTCTGGTGACTCCGTCATGGGCAATTCTTTTGCCTTGTGCATCTATCATCTTCAACTCACTGGAGCCTTGTTGCCATTGACCCACTGAGGCATAGGTTCTTGGCAATACTGACACGTCGGCGCCAGTGTCCAGGGTCACCAGGCAGTTGTCAGCATTCACTTCCTCAATCTTGACCATGTTGACATAGAACTCCTCGTCATCTTGCAAGTCCATGGCCACTATGCTGACTCCAGCTGGGACATCAACTTTGGGCTCATGACAATCCATGTACTCTTCATCCGCCGTCTCATAGTCATCGTCTTGTTCACAGCGAATCATACCAACTCGCCATGGGAAATTGTCGCCACTGCCTCTGGGCGTTGTCAAGTCGAAGACTTCCATTGATGGTGTCCCTGGCGGAGTCTCAATTCTCACCATCTTCACATTGACCGTTGAGCCTTGCCCTGTCGATGGACCTGCGCCGGTCGATGACGAGCTAGCTCCACCTGGATTGACCTGCTCTTCAATTTGATTGACTCGTTTCCAGCAGTCTTTGGCGAAGTGTCCAACTTTGCCACATAGATGACAAGCTCCAGTCGACTTGCCTCCCTTGGAGCCTTTGTCAGTCGGTTTGCCCTTCTTCCCAGGTCCCTTCTCCCAGGTGGATTTGCCTTTCTCATAGCTCTTCCAAGAGCCCTTTCCGTCTTTGGACTTGCCTTTGTCCTTTCCTTTCATCTTGCCTTTGGCATCTTTGCCCTTCGTCTTACCTCCTTTCTTGCCCCCTTTCTCCCATGCCTTGCCCACATAGTCGACCTCCATTGGTGTAGCCTCATCTGTGGAAGCCCGTGTTGGCAGCATGAGAGAGTTCGTGCTGTCCCATTTTGTCGTCACGGCCTCAAGCTGTATGATCCGGTCCTTGAGCTGCTCATAGTTCGTGCTGTCCGTGATCCATAGATGCAAGCGCTGTCTGATTTGCATCGGACAAGCCAATAGCACCGCTGCCACCTTAGCATCATCACTGTATCCATGGCCAGAAATCCTCTCATACTCGTTGATGAGTGCCTCAAATTGAGGTAGTTGTTCTGACACTGTTTTGCTCCAGCAAACTGAATCCGGGACAACTGACTCAGCAGAGCCAATGCCCTTGCACGGGTCGCCGGTTGCATCTCCCGCAATAGGATTTGCCATGCCTTGAACCCATTCTCCTTTTCCACATGCCGAATCAGCTTCAATGGCCTCTGTCTGAGGTAGGACGTCAGCAAGCTGTAGAGTCGAACTGCCCTGCTCTTGGTTTCATCTGTCATGTCATCCATGTCATAGTTGGCCTCCAAGTCTCTCTCGACCAGGTCCATGTCATTTGCCATCGTAGGGTCGATGCCTTTGATGTAGTTCATGAACGAGAACTTCCAATCTCCCCATGACTTGAGCTCATTGTCTCTGCCATCAGGTTTGAACACATCAGGAGCTTTGAGATGACGCGCCCAACCTTGGGCTGCTTGGTTCACTGTCAGTCTCTCCAAAGCCGTGGCCACCAACCGAAGGCTCTCTTCTGCCATTGCCCTGAGGTTCTTGACCTTGGGGTAATACGCCTTTGTCGTGCAAAGGGGATCGTATACTTCTCCTTCCGGCTTGAACTCCAGTCCACTATAGACCAAGCTCTCCCAGAAGTGCCAGTTTCGAACCAGTTCACAGATCTTCTCTGGTGGTGTCTCGTCCCGTAGGGTTACTACTTTTGAGAGGAACCTCCACTTCGAGGGAACAACCACTAGGATCTCGTTGAGATCAGCTGAACCTTTACCTTCAACCCTTTTCTGAAGTATGACCGAGGCGCGAGTGGCCTTCTCCCCTTTGACCCACCTGATGCGAGCCAGGTACTCCTCACACTCAATGCACAGGGTGTGGAATCGTCGGTACTTGACCTTGCCAGTCTTTGCCACCAAGCGATTGGGCTGGTAGTAGTTCACCTCCTGGATCGCTGCTGCCCCAGCACCACCGGCCAGTCCGGCCAAGATGATCAGCTCAACAAGCCAAATGCCAGCTAGCTTCGAATTCCGACTCCTGCTCGATGTCGTCGTGGTGCTCGTAGTGCTAACGTGGGGCAGTCGGAGCGTGGCGCGCTACGGCCAGCGCTCCGCTACCATGAAAGGCGCGGATGCCTACCTTTTCCTTCAAAGTCGGGGTCTTGCGCCAAAATGGCGGGTAGCGAAAATGCGTGGTTGACTGACGTGACCTCATGTGCTTGGTTGTCCTATGGAATCTGACAGTTTCATAATTCTTGTTTGGTGCCTCTCTCTCTCTCTCTATGCATCGAGTTCATAATCCACGCTACACCTTCAGTCGCTTCTTCTCCGCAAGAAACCAAGGCACTGATGTACTCTGCCGGCTCCCAGTCCTCCGAATCTTCTGTGAACTGAAGAGCCAAAATACAAATAATGAAAACATATGAAAGCCATTGAGTGTGAACGATCTTTGACCTCTGAACCGATTTTCTTCAGTGTTCGGAGTAGAGTTCTGAACTCCATGGCACCGCAACATGCGACGCCCAAGTGTGGTGTGGGAGAAGCAGTCCCGACCGGTGCCAACACCTCACCGCCAACCTCACTCTCTTCTCCTTGAGCAAGATCCGTGCGTCTTCCGGTCGACATCCGATGGCCGTCAAAATGCCGATCCATCCTGAACGCGGCATAGCGCTGGCTGCTTGGTCCAAAGAACTGATGAAAAGGGACGGATCATGGACACCGGTACACCCAATAGGTGAAATTTCTTGATTGAAACAGGTCACATAAGCAGCATGCCATAGACCTATATGAGCTACATTGAGCTACACACATGGGGGCAGCCTTAGACCACCCCCCTACTCCCACCCACCAGCAAAAAACTAAAATTATTTTTTGGTGGGTAGACCCACCAATGATCGATATTATTTTGAGGGTATCTGACTAGTTCAATTAAATTCCAGCTATGTTAACAAGACCACCTCAAACACTGCTGACAACAGACCACCTAGGTGGTCCCACATAGAATCTTTTCAGAGCTGTGGGCACTTGATGCCGCGTTTTGCGGCGGTCTGTTCACATCCTTCCTAGGTAGTTCCTGCCTAGGTCGAATGCCAGAACTAATTTTGCGGTGGGTGAGTGGTATACCACCTGCAAATTAATATCACAGCCTGGTATTTTGCCTGAAATCTGCTGTTACCTTAGATAACATCATAAAGCATTGGTTACAAATTTTCCAGAATCCCAAATTTGATTTGACGTCGACAAATTTATTTTGGGGGTGGTTGGGTAGTATACCACCAGCACAATTAATATCACCTGTAGATATTTGGCCTGAATATGTTTAAATTCAATTAATACTGCTGTGACTGGTTGTTACTGTATGTATAGATTAACAAATTCCCAGAATCCCAAATATGATTTGATGTCGAAAAATTATTTTGGGGGTGGTTGGGTAGTATACCACCAGCAATTTGAATATCAGATCTGTGTATTTTCCTGGATATTTCTCCTGGAAAAATGTCAGTGCCAACCCTGGGCCGTACGTAGGACCGCAAAAAACTATTCAGCGCCACATGGGTAAACATGTTCACACAATATAGCTGGAAAAAATCTTGAAAAATAGATTTCCTGTCTGCCTGACGTGCTTTTGTCAACTGTGTCGGGTGCCGGTGCTGGGTGCTGTGAGCTGGGTGTGCGCATGCCATGCACACATCACACACCCAGTTCTGGAAAAGACCAGAACTGGCAATACGCACAAAAATCCTATTTAGCCAGTGTCGGATTTTAGTAGCCGACACTGGAAGTAACACACACAACACACACCCAGTTCTGGAAAAGACCAGAACTGGCAACACGCACAAAAATCCTATTTAGCCAGTGTCGGATTTTAATAGCCGACACTGGAAGTAATACACACAACACACACCCAGTTCTGGAAAAGACCAGAACCGGCAACACACACACAAAATCCTATTTAGTCGTATTTAGCCAGTGTCGGAATTGAATAGCCGACACTGGAAGTTGAGCCCAACGATTCCCAAAGAAAAAAGAAGATGAGTTCCACCTTTCGGCGCTATTTTACACCTTTCGGCGTACTAGTTACAAGTAGTGTTTGTTGGTTATTTTGTGGGCTGGGCGTGCCCAAGCTAAGGCCCATGAACGCCAGCAGGACGAAGATGCTAATTCCAGCTAATCCAGCTGGTACAACCGGTGATTCTTCTCAGTGTGAAGCTTTCTTTCCAGCGTTGCAACATCTGCTGATGCTTTCATTGACTGGAAATTGAACTCTCCTTCAAAAAGTTATTCCTAAATAATTTTGACTCTCAGAAGAGATGTTTACTCAGTGACCACCCTATACCCACCTGTGCCAAATAATTTCTTGAAATATTGTTTCTGGCAAATTATTTTAGGTGGTGACCCCACCCTCAAATAATTTCCTTAAAATAGGCCCCATCTACACACACCAGATGTTACCCCCGATCCCGCGGGCTCAACGCTTCCGAGATGCTCTGCTGCGTGAAGAGCCCATCGAGCCCCAGTCCGGTGGACATGAAGGGCGCCTCCACCTGTGGAGGAACGCGACCAACATGGGAGACACGGCGCTCCCAGTGGCACAACCCCCGAAAAACGGCACAAAAGCATAGGTCACTATGTCACTATATGTCACTATGTCGCATACATTCATCAACTGACTTGAGCAGAAGATTGTCAGAAAATGCGAGCATCGGCTTACTTAGTTACTTGTCAAAAAACTACTCTGTCGCTAATCACAGTGCAATTCAGCCATTCATGAACATTCTCTTCCCAACCCTTTGACGGCGGCCTGATCGCGCAGAGTTGAATTGGCCTTACAAACGACATCAAACGACAAACCGAACGTGCTTGACTCGGATGCTCGTATCACAACTGCTTGAACATGTCTGCCCAGAAATAGACTGGATTGAGGTAGCTCTTGATAGCTCTGGACATCCCTATCACCCTGCCTCAGGTATAGCAGTCTTGCCCCGGAGCAAGTCGAAGAAGCTTGCTACACCTGGGCTCATCAATGTGTTTGCTTTATTGAAGGACTTCTGGTGACTCATGATTTGTGGATTGCTATTTTTGGCTAGTGGCTTCTGCTTCGAGCATTGAAGCTTTAGCGCAAGCGAAGGCATCAATTCCTTCGCCACAACTAGTTGGACTCTCTTGGACCTGCATCCACTATACCTTCCTATCGCGCCCTGCACCTTGAGCGTTGCTTTTTGCCAAGGCACTGATGTGCTGGTCGCAGTCCTGCCAAGTTGGATGACTCCAGTGACACGCGATCACCTTTCACCTCACAACTACTGAAATGGAAGCGCCGCCAACGTCCGAGTCACTCACTTGGTCTTTCCATTTTGAAACTGCATGGAAACGCAATGACTACTTGCACACTGTCGAGTACATGATCCTAGCTCATCCAATATGTTTTTAAAAGCAACAAACATGTTTGTCTCAAGCGTGTGCTGTACAGGTTTATGCGAAAACCGTCAAAACCCGATTGGCTCAAACAAACCGAGCGTGACCACAAGACCTTCAAAGCAGTGCAGTGAACGAGTGGCGTGAAAACTCTCCTTCAGCAGAACGTTGGCATCTTCAAATGCAATACCAGCCGTTGTCAAAACATCGACCCATCCTGAGGATTCTGCAAACACAGCGGCAAGGGTCGCCAGAAGTATATGTTTTTGCAAGCACAAGCAAGCAATCATGACGTTGGGTACTGGATTTCCCAACTTCAACATTTCACCTTCCTCGCTTTAGATTGGATGATAGAGTAGGTTGCTTCTTCCTTACACCATGACATGACAAACCGGCATCCAATTTGAATGACTGAGAAAACAATTGTTTTTATGTGTTTAAACTAAGCATCTCCATGCGCATTCGTTCATTGCTTTCTTGATGTGTTTCCTATCAAACTTCATAAAGCGAGAGAAGGAGGAAGGACCTTAGTCACTTCCTATAGCCCAAGAGGACCCAACAGTGCCACGTCCGCAGGAGAGCCAGGATGCTCTGTCGCGTCAGACGCTCCACATGCCCGAAGGTGGACCGGAACTTCGCTTCCACCTGACAGGATCGACCATTCTGTCACGCACGGTTAGCGTTAGCGTCTTCATTTCTTCATTTTCTACGTACCTTCCATAGAACTCCCGCCCAACTCAACAACTTGGAACACGACTTGACAATGTCAAAAGGATTGTTCTTTCGATTTGCACTTCACCCAAGACGAAGACCGCTTTTTGCTCGCCCTGGCCCATACCAGCCCTGCCGGATCCTGCCACATCCTGCCTCATCAGCTTCTTTCACTATGTCCTGGGCATGATCATGTGAAGAACGTTGAAACCAGTTCAGATCGTTTCTAATTGTTTCTCTGTTAACCCAGGGCCACTGGGTTTCAATCGTTCGTGGCTCCGGCCTTGCCGAACTCAGCAAGGCCCAGACCTCGCTGGCTCAGACCTCGCCGGTGCTGCAAACGTGGAGCCACGCTCAGCTGGGCCCGTAAAGAAAGATACAAACGACATGGACAAGACAAGCGTTAACATCAACCAACACACCACGAGGATGAGCTCCGAACTTACCTGTGGCACAACTCAAGCATTCATTCAACCACAGGATTTGAGTCATAAGGATATGTTTCTCATGGTCAAAGCTCTGCATCAAAGCTTGGAATTTCCAAGATCCGTCTACTGGGAAGAACAATGAATCAATCTGTTCTGTTCTCGATATCTTGTTGAAACAGTTGCATTTCTACCTCAATATGTGTTACCAAGTGCTCTTGACGTGCTGTCAGCCGTCCCGGATGTTTAGACGACAAGGCTGTTCGACCATTGGATCTCCAAAGTGTTTGGATATTCACAAATTCACAAACACTTGCCCTGAAAAAGCAGCAATCTCATGCAATTTCAGAAGTTTCCCAGATACGTTACCGGCACATTTGATCTTGACATCAGCTCAGAGGACCTGTGTATCCCCATCTCCGTGATCGGAAGACTCCTTTAGCTTTCCGCAAGCTTGTGGGCACTTGATTTCTACCGCTTCCACCGGTTTTTCTCCAAGAATTCTGAAAAAACCTCTGATTCCGAACGATTTGTTTCTCTCCGAAAGGATCTCCTCCCGTCCGGACCACTTCGCTCCATTTCAATCTCACTGGGCCCCCCGAACGTCCTCGATGGTCGTCCTCGGCCAGGCCTTCGGCTTCCGCACCTAAGCCTGCTGGTGCATCAGCTTGGGCTGTCTGGTCCAGGGGCCTGTCACCCAGCGGACCTTCTTGGTGTGGCAATCCATCTCCTTCATCTTCTTCTTCTTCTTCTAGTTGAAGATCGATGTACAAATCCGGCTTCGCTTTCTTCAGCTCTCGTAAGGCTTGGAGGCCTCTGTGCCCGATGTCGTTGCGCGCAAGCCTGAGTTCCTCTACTTTGTTGCAATGAAGCAAGCTGGCCACAATGTCTTCGACATCGTCATCTTTGAGCCCGCATGACTCCATCTGAAAGGAGCGAGCATTGGTATTGGCAACTGCCACAGCTGCATTCCTTGGCAATACGTTGCCATTCACCACAATCTCATCCAGGTCGACATAGAACGGCAAAGCGGCACAAAGAGTGTTGAGAGCCTCTTCATCCAAGTTTTCTGCCATCAGCTG